GGTGTTTTGCAGATTCTACATTATTCTTTAGCGTTGCATAGTATTCCATTGTGTGAATGTACCGAAGTTTGGTTATCCATTCCTCAGTTGTTGGACATCTAGGTTGTTTCCAAGTCCAAAGCTGTTTCTTATATACAGGAAGCAGACCACATACCCAAAGGCAGCTACTCAGCTGCTCCCAGTAGAGTCCACCATGGAGTTGATTACCACTCTCACCATGGGGAATACTACATCCAGCTGCCCAGGCACTCAACCAGGCCCAGCCAAGTTGACACACAAACTGAACTACCACAGGGGGGTCTGTTTGTTCATTCAACAAAGATCCTCAGAGTTCTGAAGGTGCCGGCCTGACTGTCGTGACACCGGGGAGGCCAGGCACCTTTCTGATTGTGTTTTTAGTTGCCACTGAGTGAGCGCCAACTCATGGTGACCGCGTATGACAGGGGACCCTGCCCAGTCCCACGCCATCTTCACGGTCCTTGGTCTGCTGGAGGCCCCTCCTTCAGCCCTGTGCCGGACAACGTTCTGTGTGAGCCACGGGGTTTCACTGGCTAAGCTTTAGAAGGATTCGGCCAGGCCTTTCTTCCTGGGCTGTTCACTATGGGGGACCCTGTTGGCATTTCAAATACTGCTGGCATAGCTCCCAGCATCGTAGCAACGTGCCAGCCCCCACAGTGTGACAGTGACAGACCAGTGGTGGTCCTTCCTGATGGCACTCGTCTCCTAGAGAGGGAGACGGACGTGTTCGTACGAGCACAGGCTGGCCCCCCACTCGGTGCCCCGGCCTCCCTCTCCCCAGGGCCACGCAAAGGGCCCTGGACAGGGAGCCTGGTGCCTTACAAGAGCTGGGTTAACAGTGATTGTTACGCTCTCAGATGTCAGGACTCTTGGGAGCCCCCATTCTTGGTCCCTGCGACTCTGAGATGGTCTGTCTCTAACTCTCTGCTTCTAAGAGTCTCTGCTTATGGACAGAGAGTCTCTGAGACGTGGGTGCTACCCCCATGACTTCTGCCTTTCCGGTCCTCCCAACCCCTTCCCCCTCTGGGGAGTGGGGAGAAGAGGGCTGGGCCGCTGCTTAATCACAGCCCAGAGTTTAAGGCCGGCTGCGGCAGCTCAGGGCCCTAGAGCCAGGCTGGAACCGGGACACAAGCCTCCAGGCCCCAGACCTGTGGCATCCCTGACCGCCCTTGGTCAAGGCCACCAGGGCAGGGGCTAATAATGCCTTTCTGGGCAGAGATGGGGGTGCCTGTGTTCCACCCAGCTGTCCCTAACACGGGTGTGATCTCGGGCAATTCTTGGCGTTGTCAGGACCCTATTTTGGACAGTGGGGAGGTTTGTGGTCCTGGAGACCCTCAGGCCTGGGGTCAGTCCTAGGAGTGAGTATCTTTTGGGAAGGGGGCGTGGCCAGGCGGCAGGGAAGGAAAGCGCCACTATGCTAGAATCAACTATCCTTTTATTTGCACAAATTCCGACCCGGCAGTCCCAGGGCCTGGGAATAAGTTAAGGCACACAGCAGGCCCGGTGGAGGCCCCGGATGCCTCCAACTTCCGGAGCAAACTCCCGACGGGGCTGGGCTTCCAGGGTGCTTTCCCGTGAGACGAGGGTCGGAGGGGCGCACGAGTGGACGCGGGGAGGCCGCGCGGCCGCTCCGTCCCGCCGCGGCTCACTTGTCGAAGTAGGGCAGGTAGAAGAACTGGAAGCCGCGGTGCCCCTTAACGGCGCAGTAGATGAAGATCACGTGGTAGACTGCGGGGCGGGGCCTGTCAGTGCCGGAGCCCCGCCCCTCGCCCCTCCGGGGCTGCTCCTAAATCCCCCCGCCCCGCCCCCGAGCCCGCTCGCACCTCCCGGGACCAACAACAGGAAGCCTGGCACGAAAAAGATGGCGCTGGCGACACCTGCAGGAGGAAGGGGAGGGGACAGACAGGTCAGGGCAAGGGGCTGAGGGGGGTCACGGGTTCCCCAGCCCGGGGGGGGGGCGGGGAGAGGGTGCCATTTCCTGGTGGGAAGCCGGTGCTTTCTGGGACGAGGCAGTGCTTGTCAAGGATCCTTGGGAGACGGGTGAGCGCTGCCCGCGCTGGTAGGAGGGGGACCTCACCTGGAGCGGGAGACACCTCCAGTCCTACGCCGATCAGGATCAACACTGCACACAAACGGAGCCACGGGGGTAAGGGGGGAGCCAGGGCCCCCCTCCACCCAACCCCAAGCCAGCTCAGGGCTGGGTGGCGCCCCCACCTGAGCTGATGGCCCCCGGGCGGACGTTCCCCACGCCCCCAGCTCTGGTTTCAGAGCAGCAGGCCCTGGGGAAGGCGTATGAATGGACTGCCTGCTCCTAGGTGTGGCCTTCCATTCACTCAGCAAACATTTAAGGACCCACAGCCTGCCTGGTACAGAGATTGCTGGGAAAGGCAGAGAAGGGCCCCGCCCTCTGTGCCCTTCCTCCACAGACTACCTTGAAGTTACACCAGGTGATCAGGACAGGATGGCGAAGACCCCAGCAGTGTGGGAGTCCGGGGGACCAGGGAGGGAGTTCTTGGAGGCAGTGACATTTAAGCAGAGACCAGGAGGTGGAGCAAGGGCACGGGTGGCCGCAGCAGCACGTAGCTGGGAGTAGTGGTATGAACAACGGTCCTGTACTGGAGTGGTAATGCAATCCTAACAGTGTCTGTGTAGTGACAGTGGTTTGAACCCACCAGCTGCTCTGCGGAAGAGGTAGTCTGCTTGTGTAAAGCTTATATAGCCTTAGGAGCCCAACGGGGGTCACTATGAGCCAGGATCCACTCGGTGGTAGTGAGTGTGCTTTGCGTGGTAGTAGGGGCTGTACACCTGCAGTGTAACAGTAGTGGCAGTGTAGTGGTGGGGGTGGGGGTGTGCGGGTAGTCACAGTAGCTGTCATCGTTGGCTACCGTCAAGTCAGTTTCAACTCACGGCAACCATACGTCCTTGAGAACAAAACGCTGCCCAGTCCTGTGCCAGCCTCAAAATTGCTGCCATATCTGAGCCTATTGCTGCAGACACTGTGTCAGTCCATCCCGTTGAGGGTCTTCCCCTTTTCTGCTGACCCGCTACTTCACAAAGCATGATACCCCTTTTCAGGGAGCGGTCCTTCCTGATAACATGACCAAAGTATGAGAGATGAAGTCTGGCTATTCTCACTTTCACAGAAGCATTCTGGCTGCACCTCCTCCAGGATGAATTTGTTCATTCTTCTGGTATATTGGTCCCGGGTATATTCAGAACTCTCTGCAATTCAAATGCATCGAGTTTTCTTCAAGTCATAATCAGTGTCCAGCTGTCACATGCATAAGAGGCTACTGAAAAGACAACGGCTTGGGTCAGGTGCACCTTAGTCTTCAAAGTGACATCTGTGCTCTTTAACGCTTTCTAGAGGTCTTTTGCAACAGAGGTGGCCAGTGCAATATGTCATCTGGTTTCCTGACTGCTGCTTTCGTGGGTGTTGATTGTGGATCCAAGTCAAATAAAATTCCTGACAACTTCAATCTTTTCTCCATCTATCATGGTTTGCTTATTGTGACGATTTTTGCTCTGTGTTGAGGTGTAACCAATACTGAAGACTATAGTCTTTGATCTTCATCAGTAAGTGCTTTGAGTCATCTTCACTATCAGCAGGCGAGGCTGTGTTGTCCGCATGTCACAGGTTGTTAAGAGTCTTCCTCCAATCCTCATGCACGTTCTTCATATATTCCAGCTTCTTGGATTACTTAGCACACAGATGGAGTAAGTATAGTGAAAGGATACAGCCCTGATGTACGCCTTTCCTGATTTTAAACCACACGACATCCCCTTGTTCTGTTTGCATGGAGGCCTCTTGGTCTGTGGACAGGTTCCCTGTGAAGTAGTGACTGGGTAGTAGTAGTCGTGGGCTGTAACAGTAACAGTGGTAGTGGGGGGGGTAGTGTTGCTGTTAGGAGCTGGCGAGTCAGCTCTGACTCACAGCGATCCCGTGGACAACCGAACGAAACACTACCCGGTCCTGCACCACTGTCCCAGTCGCTGCCATCGTTGAACTCACTGTTGTGGCCACAGTACAGTAATGTAGCAGCAGTAACAGCGGTACTAGCAGTTAGCTACTTACCAGGGCAGCCAGGCACTGGGCTGAGTGTTACACACACTGGATTTTGAACGTCAACCTAAGACGGGTATCACTGAAGAGGAAACTGGCATACACAGCTTGCCCCAGCTGCAGCCGGAGGGTGGAGGCGGTCTGATCCCAGGGGCTCTGTGTACAGACCTCGTCCAGCAGAGAGGGAGAAGGGCATTCCAGCCAAAGGGAACGGTATGGCAGAGGCCTGGGGTCTGGAGGGAACTGGGCGCTTCCAGCATTTTGGAAGACTGGCGAGGCAAGAGCCCAGCCGGCGGAGTTTGGCCCAGAAGCCCTGGGGAGGGATGTGGCCTTGGGATGTGATGGAGCATGGGGAAGGCGGGGAGGCCTTGGCTGGATCCACTCTTCAGACCTGAGAGTCTGGGTCCCAGTGAGAGGAGGGCGGGGACTGTGTGTGTGAGGTCAGGGCAGAGGCTGTGGGGCTCCACGGGCTGTCGGGCGGCTTCTGTGCTGCTCAGAGCAGGCACGTGCCCCCGTCCCTGGCTCAGGGCTGCGACTCTGCACTCAGGGGGCGCTTGTTTCTACGGTAAAACCCGCGAAAGCCAGAACCTGTGTAAGGTGGAAACCTGTCAGAGAAGGAAAATGCAAGTATTTTCCACCAAGACAGAGCACCAGCAGAGTGCTCGGACTGCACCCTGTCCGAGATGGAAAACTCGCGAGACCTGGAAAAACAAGCAGGCCCCGCCGAGTTCCGGCTCTCACAGGTCACGCTGTGGCTCCTACGAAGGCCCCGTGCCAGGCCTGGTCATCTCACTCGCCTGGCTAGGTGCCGGCTCCTCTGCCTTCCAGCTGTGGCCCCACTGGTGACACTGCAGGGAATGCTTGCCTTGTTGGGTGGGTGAGAGAGGTACACGGGTCAGAACAGGTGGCCAGCGTGGCCGCCGTCCAACGTGCAGGGCTCAGTCCGCGGACGACATACAGACGGTGCCAGGCCTTCCCGGGGGAAGGGGAGGAAGCAGAGCAGCCACAGCCCGCCCCCTCCCGTGGGCCCCTACACCCTTTCCGGGGACCCCGTCGACTGCGAAGCCTAGTGGTCAGCAACGTGCAGCTGTGAGCTCTACCTGCTGTGGACCTCAGTTTCCCCGGTGGGGGAGGGGGCAGGTCCCACTGGGTCTGGGATTCCAGGGAAGGGGAAGTGACAGGTGTCCTGTGGATCAAACCAGCAGGGTCCCCAGCATCATGACTGAGCACCTGGCCCTACACACGGGTCCGGAGTAGCAGCCCTACCTTGGTGGGCCCATCTGTAAGGCGGGGAGAATAAGCCTGCCCTACACGTGACCCTGAGCAGCCACAGCGCGCGTGGAGCCAGAAATCGTCAGTCCTCGTAAGCCCTGTGTCTCCTGCACTGTCGCCAGTCGGCGGGGGCCAGAGTGAAAGCTCCCGGAGGGCAGGGACTCTGCGGCTCGCTCTGTTCTTTTCTCTGCTGCACCCCCAGGGCCCAAAGGGCTCGGGACAGTGTGCTTGCTGAGTGACAATAAGCTGTTTTTTAAAAAAGGAAACACAGTCCCCAGCTCATTGGAACTAAGCCGGGTCCATTTCCAGTCACACTCCATCTCCTGGCTCTCAGGGCCTCAGCTTCCTCACTTAGAAAATGGGTGGGTGATGCCAGTCAGCTGCCTCCCTGGGCTGCTGGGAGGCGCAGGGCACCCCGAGGATGCCCCCACCCCATGCCACTGAGTCGATTCTGACTCCCAGTGTCCCTATAGGACAGGGTCGAACTGCTCTGTGGGGTTTCCAAGGCTGTCGATCTTTACGGAAGCAGATGCCTCATCTCTCTCTCACAGAGTGGCTGGTGGATTCAAACCGCCGACCTTTCAGTTAACAGCTGAGTGCTTTAACCACTGTGTCCCCAGAGTGTGCGTGGCTTGTGCGAAAGGCAGGTGCGCCCTCACCGGGGGCCAAGGGCCCCGGGCACTCACCCAGCCCCAGCAGCAGCAGCAGGAAGGAGGCCAGTACGACCCGGCGGTTCTTCTGGATCAGAGGGTGCTGGACCCAGCTGGGGAGGCGGGAAAGCAGGGTGGCTGTGAAAGGGGTGCAGGC